TCTGTCGTATTCTCGATGTACTAAAAAGTGTTATCCTCCTTCAGGGATGTCTCAGCCTCACGCTCCTTTATAGTTCGGAACCCTTCTATACAGTAGGTGAGGGGTAACCCCGATCAGGAATGTTTAGACTCTTCGTCCTTCGTATTATACAGGATGCCAAGAATCTATAATCTTGCTCATGTCGTATCATAACATAAACCAGGGCAAGAAGCTTTAGAAAGAATAAAAACAACATTTTGAAGGCCTGATTTTGATACAACAGGTTTATTATCTGAAAAAGTGACGTCTGATCAAACAAAAGTAGCAATATTGGAAGATCAATACAATCAAGGGAGATACGGGATATGAGGACCGTCCAGGCCGTGACTAACGGAAGGGGGGCCGAGCTAAGACACTTGGTACGTAGCTGGGAGCTGTTAAAAGGTTTTTTATGTATATTGTTTATATAGTTTTGCCCCTTTAATCAGATCAATCTACCAAGAAAAACCTTATTGGAAGATTTCGTGAATTGGTGCTCGCGCATTCACAGCTGAGCCAATGTTGCGATATGTTATAGGTTTTTTCTCTGGATTTTGTGGTGGGGTCCCACATCCCTCAAGTTACACCCTATATTATTTGCAAAATATAAAAAAGAAAATATAAAGGAACGCTCAGTCGAAAGGAGTAAAAGCATGGCGTGAATTTTGGAGAGCGCTAGACAGGCAAAATCGGTAGGTTTCAGAACTCTATTCATTCATTACATCGAGGGTCATATGTATCCTTGCAGTACAAGAATAATACTGATGCGAGAATAAATATTAGTCATATATTAATACAAGACAATGTAATATCTTTTTGAGTCCTTTCTTTAATGTGCCCGAGGTCTCTGACCCTTGGTAGACTTGAAGGCACCCAAAAATCACAAGGAAGTGTGACCCGACTTATTGTATACATCATTCGAGAATAAATGGACGTTAAGTAGGTTTTCAAGTAGTAAAGCTGGTATATGCAGTCAGAAAGAACAAAAATCAGAGTTGTAGCCCCTTCAATGAATGTACCGTGGTTACGAGCTTCCCTGGAACAATATCCGCTGGCCGATAACAATACAGAGTTAGGCAAATCAAGTGACCTCGGTTTGAAAATAAAACATAGTGAAGAGCATTTTCAGGAGGGATCTTGAGACTGGCCCTATGACCCGAATACCTGATTTGAAATCGCAAATAATGTTCATTATTGATTTTCAACCCCAGTTATTGAGCGTAATGCCACGTCACTACATAGCGGCTTATACAATTCTTTTGAAATTGAGGGTATTTGTAACGAACCAATAATAAAGGATTAGGCATGTGACCAAGACAAAAGAAATAGGAGATCAGCATCTTAATTTTTGTACACGACAAAAGGTTGGATAACCTCACAACAAAAAGATCAAGAGAAACTGCACATGCCTCAAAATCACGGAAGAGGTGGGGGTTGCTTTGACTTCACGGGTATGTTTAGCAACTGGCTGGTGACTTATTTTTTATGAATCATTTGTCTTGATGCTCTAATAATTGCACTCCGTTTGTCTACGAGGTATTAAGAGTGACACAAATAGAGAAAATCTTTGCATGTCACGGCACTGTGAGCGGAATTAGACGAGAAAATAGGCCGTGTAAAAGACTCAAAGAACGACACCTGTGAAAAAAGCCCTGGTATTCCGCGTGAAATGAAGCCGAATTATGTATAATAGCAAATTTGCTGGCTGAAATTATCTAATGAAACTTTTTATTTGCTCTCTTGTTTATCAATTAAACCAAGAACAATAATACTGTTATCAGAATTGAAACGTTTTGTAAAGTACAGCGGTCACATTGAATAGAAATAAAAAAAACCATACATAAATACAGATCTCATGTGCTTTAAAGTGAAATCATTCTTGGTAGTGAGCTTTTATTTCTCATTGAGCTCCTGAGTTCATGCTGTGAGATTTCATCAAACAAGTGGTTTAGGTTCTCATTGTTCCGGTAAGGTCACCCAATCAAACTTTTGAGAAGGTTATCTTTGTCTAAAATTATTGCAATATTCCTGAGCATGCAATGCGGAGCGTGCTAATAGAGATCTGGGAGACGCCATCTTTCACAGCTCTAAACAAGTGTTTCGTATGACAATGAAATATTTTAGGATGCAGCGAACACTCTTGTCGCTGCCTAGTGTCGCGCTAAAGAGAAGCCTATAATGAAATAATCGTCAGCTTATTAGTTATGAAATCTCATGGAATATAAAAGGGAGCGCTTTTTCCTCACTGATGATTCATGCCGATTATCTAGCTCAATATTCAGTCACGATATCCATATCATTAAGACTAACGGATCAAGATTAGAACAAATTTTAATTCTCTGTTGTTGAAAGAGGTCTCTAAACAAAAACTATATCCAAACTTTAGCTATGCAGTTCAGTGCTTGCAAAGCGGCAGTGGTATTATTTTTTCTGAGCCTGGTTCTTGCAATATGTCCAAGACCGCTTTCAGAATGCAACTACATCTCAAAAATCACACCTGAGGAAGTTGTCATGGGTAATACCCAGATTGATGAATGGGCGGATCTTGTGGTGGAGAACGTTGATATGAAATTATACAATAATTTCGACAACAGGGGCTTCTTTCACATGAAAAACAATATGAATGTGACTGACTCTACTCGAGAGATTGGATTGAGAAGTTACGGTGATGATTTTTTGAACGTTGGTTCATTTTGGCTTATTTATCAGCTAAAAGTTTCCCCGCGATGATAATACAGGCAAATGAGCGTTTTGAAAACTCGGGTGATATGTTTTTCGGTGTTCCCCTGATGGATAGTCGGAAATTATCTCTCAAGGTCCAGTCAAAGAAGGATTGGCTTAACACCGGTATTATGGTTTTTAGGAAATTTGAAAGCGAGACAGAGCAATCGGCAGCTCCATTGATTATTGACTCGGGATCCATTATTGATAATCACGGGTCGATTTGTTTGCAGAAAGTTCACTTGTTTACACCCGCGACAATCGGAGGCGAAGGCTGTATCACCGTGGATTCTGGTTCTGTTCTTGATATGATACACCAAGCTTCAAATAAGCAAACCATTTTTTTAGAAACAGCTGACTCGAGATTAAAAATCGCGGAACCAGGAGCTCTGTCGTTTATCCCTCATCTTACGGTCGCAGGTTTTGGAGACGACAATGTAATTGAATTTGACTTTGAGGTTTCAAGCAATTTCGGGTATTCTCCTGATGCAGGTCTCTTATCAATTCAAAACATGCAAAACCTGCTGACAATACATCTTGAAATCGGTTTAGGATATGAAAGGGGGGCTATCAAACTTACACTGAACTCAGGGAGCAGTAAATTGACATACTCGAAGCCTCCACCACTGAACATCCGTCCACCTAAATGCAATTGTGTACCTGATGTCTCAGGCCATTAGTAATGTTCGATGATATTGAGGGGCTGTAGCACCGGTTGGTGAGACTTACAGCGTTGTTCTGCGAAATCGTTGACTTGAATTATTGAGTGTGCTTCCGATTTAATTCTATGCTAATAAGCTCTCTTGTATCGTCGGTTGACTTTTATATGTTCTTTTTGCCTCGTTTACAGATCTTTGTATCGTCACTCTCAAATGTTTGAGTCTGACCATCATAAAAACAAAATAAACTTTCGAAACATCATTCGAACTTATAAGTGGATAGAAGTGCTCTATCCAATAAATTGTATTATGAGAGTGCCTGATGCTCCAATGCCCTCATGATTCAAGATTCAAGTTTGAGAAGCTAGTCAATGGTTTTCATACATGTTTTTGCTTCCGCATCGATGAGATATTTAATTCATTACTAAACCACTGGATGATGTATTAAATGCTCTGAATTTTAAGTCAGTGTCTCATCAAAGTTTTCTAAGCATGTTCGAAAACAAACTTCGCCAAATCAATATTAGAGACGCTCACTCGATCCAAATTTCCTCATCTTGCTCATACTGCGATAGGGCTAAGCAATTCTTCAGAGACGATGAATTGCACTCACCTCTGAAGATAAGCGAACACTTAAAGATAAGCTAAACTAAACCTACAATATTTACAGAAAGCACTGTTTTTGCCGCATCGTTTTCTTCATCATCACTTATTTCAGACCAGTTGTTGAAATCATTCAAATGTCTGAAAATTCTAAAAAACACTTGCAAATTGAAGAAGACTGCTGGATTGATGTGAAACTAGTCTAGGATTCGATGTTACTCTCTAATTGATCTTGAGCACATGTCTACTTTGAAGCTTTGGAATGAAAATACTAACATTTGTTTTGGAGCCCCTTCTTACTATATATACTGTAAAACATGATCAGGAGACGTAAAATTGAGTTTCATCAACCTAACAAGCCTCCCATACAGTAGGTGTGTAGCGCTCATACTAGATGTGTCCGAAGAAACCACGTTAGTTTAGAATTTATATCTTGCTTTGCTACCATTGCCTAAAGCCTCACAGCTTATATGATCTAGTGTATTAAGAAGCCCACCTTAGCCTCAACAGCTCTTCATATCACCACAACTGCGCACACATATTTTTACAGGACTCCCTGGAAATCCATAAAACGTGTCATTCCTTTGGATAATACAAATATAATTTCAGGGACTTCTAATCAAACACCCGCTTCACCCGAACCTTTAACACTTCGTTACTTCTCATACTTCAGCTGTATATAATGACGTTTGGCACACCACAGCCGATACCAAATAAGTTAGAGTCGCATGCAATTTGCAGTAGGGCACCAAGGGTTTCTTCCAAACAGGTACTGGAATATTTCACGAGGTCTAACATATAGACGCTAAATCTGATTGACATCATTAAAGCTAGTTTCATTCGAAGCTGATATGAATTTCCTTTTTGGTACGCACCCATCTCAGTCTGCAATGCAATCTTTTGGCCCGATCTTCAAGTATTCTAGAAATGCCATAAGAAATACCGCAAAGTGTGGTTCGCATTACTAAAACTGATACTCGACCAATATAAGAATGGTAAGTTTTTCTGAATCCAGAGGCAGTCGCAGGAAAAGACAATAAGACTTCTGCCATTGCAACTGTCGCATCCCATGCATTTATAAAACTTTGCAGAAAACTTTTACGATTAAGTGAGTTGTACGTGTTCAGCTTTGACCTGTGTTTTTTCTTTCCATTTCATGCGAAGAAATACTTCTCTTCATATCAGTACGAGTGAAATTACACCAAGGCGCGTATGAATTGGCTTGAATAGATGGTTCACTAAATAACGTCAATACTACCCATGCTGTGTGAATTACATTTTTGCAAACAAGTCAAGACAAACTGTCTATAATTTCAATATAGAAGCAAAATTAATCAATGTGGAAATTTTTGGTCGTGAAATGACGAGGCTTGCCTCCGGATTAATATTGGATAAACTGAAGATGATTACATCGATGTAAAGATGTGATAAATTGCGTTCATTTTTCGAAAACGAACAAAAAGGATACTGCTTATCGTTGACCTTGCTTGAGCGATTTTCATTTTTCATATTGAGCGAGTCGCTTGTTCCAAGGTCTCCCGGGAGCCCCCGGGGTGCTCAAAAATATAAAGAGCTGCTTCGTCGCGTAGATGTGTTTGAGCGATGTCAATATCAATTATAAATAACTATACACTGATCTGCACTATAAAGCAGAATCCGAGGTCTAAAAGGGTCCATCATGCAAGGAGAAAATCCTGTCACCAGGATATTTTTTTGACGTGACTATGAATTTCCACGTTACCCGCAGACCAAAAATAGCACGGCAGCTCTACTCTTTGGAAATATCTCTACCAAACATGGAAAGTTTGGCCCAATCGAAACAGATCAAGATCTGGTTCTTCACCGAGAGACACATATAGATGTACGCGGATCTCCAGAACAAATAGGTGAACGTACCACCGGAGGACACATTGGACCAGTCACCCCAGACCACGTCGGCCACGGCTCTTTCGGAACCAATGTAAGCCAAGGAGCCTTGATGGTTGTACTTGAAAGGTTCGAGTGAGTTCTCCAATTTAACCAACTTCTTGGACAATCTCTCGATGTTGTCTTGCGCAGAAGGCGACTGGATCTTGTGTTTGAGGGCCTCGATGTCGTTCAATTTCTTGAGGTGTCCAGCCAAGAAAATACCCTCCTGGAAGGCCACCTGGGCAGTAGGCGCGTATTTAGTAAACGTGCAGTCTCCCAAGGCGAAAATGTTGTCAGTACCGTCAAGCAACATATGGTCGTTGACCAACAAGCCTCTTCTAGCGTTTCTTTGCTCGTCGATCTTGGACGTCAAGTCCCTAACGATGGGTCTTTGCGCGTTTCCGGTTGCCCATATCAACATGCCGTAAGGAATCTCTGTCATGTTCGTGGTGCCATCCAGGCCCTTGTGTTCAGCGTACACTTTTTTGTCATCCACCTTTTTGATCATGTGGTTCGTCTTCAAGTCGATGTTGGTATCCTGGAACACCTGCTTGGTGTACTCAACCAACTTGGCGTTGAACATATTCAAAACATTAGGCATGGCCTCGACCAAGGTAACATTCAACTCGTTGGCCACCTCAGGCATCCACTGCTTGAGATCCTGGTCGATGTAGTCCTGGAGCTCACCGGCGACTTCCACACCGGTTGGCCCACCGCCACACACGACAATGGACAATAATCTCTTTCTTTCTGGGTCGTCAAGGGGGAGGATGTTGGCGGCCTCGATGATGTCCATCAAGGATCTTCTGATCTTGGTGGAGTCGCTGACCTCCTTCAAGAAAGTCGAGTGCTCCGCTACACCTGGGATTCCAAAGGTCGAGGGCTGTGCGCCAACGCCCACAACCAAGTAGTCGTAGTTCAAGGAGGTGACAATCTCCTCGGAGAAAGTCAGCTTGGACGAGCCGGAGTCGGTACCAGAGTGGCCGGAGTGCACCGTGGTGGACTGCTTGATCGTGAGCTTGTTGTTGACAGGGTCGATGTTTGTACATTCGGCCTCCAAGTAGATGACCTCGGCGGCACATCTTCTGGTGATGGAGCGCACGGGCTCAATAATGGATCTCAACTCCACGGTTCCCGTGGGGACAGAGGGCAACAAGGGCGTGAAAAGAAAGTAGTTCCGTGGCGACACCACCACAACATTGTACAAAGACGTGTCCAAGTTTTTCAAGAGTGGAATCGAACCCCAGCCAGATCCCAAGATGACCAATGTCTTCTTTTTGCGGCCGTCCTCGAAGGTGGCCACCTGTTTCTCCTGGTCCGCAGGATACGACTCCTTGTGGACCTTGTATCCAATGTAGGCTGCCGCGCCAACGGTGGAAAAGAGAGCGGCTCCACCGAGCACCTTCAAAGTACGTCTGATAGGACCCACGGAGGCCTTTTTGGCGCTCTTTGGGGCAGCAGCGTTGAACGCTCTGGCCGAGGTTGCAAACAACCGGGACGCCTGGGTACGGAACATGTCTGTTTAGAAATCCGTGAAGCAGAGAGACGGTCAGACGAGTGCTTCAAAAAAACAGGGGTTTGGCGTTCTTCGTTGCAGGTGAACTTCCAGAAAAAAGAAGTGAACCTGGTTTAATTTTTTTTTTTCGCCTAAGGCGTCGCGCCTGGACCGGAGTTTATCTTGTCGACGCAGGCTGCGAAATCGCAATCGGTGTTACGGGCGCCGAAGATTCTATTGGCGCGGCCAGGCCGGCTCTAAAGAATAGGGCTGAGACAGGGCCACGGGGCGTGTGGCGAAAACAGGACCGGGTCCAGCGTTGTTTCCTTTCCTTTTTCGTTCTCTTCTTTTTTTCTTCTTTTTTTTTTCATTCTCTTTATCGTCCTTTTATGGCTTTTCACCGACCCTCTTGTTATCGAAATAATTTTCGCTTGCTGGGTGCTGTTGCTCAATTGCTGTGATTTTTGACCTTTGCCTTTCCGGAGCCTGCGCAGCTAGACAGTTGGCACGGATCTGGTCGGGGCACCGGGCTCCGTTGCGCGTTATCTGGACTAATCTCCGGCACTCCAGTTCAATGCACACGAGACTTGCCCAATGGTGGCAACCACGGACTTTCGGACTTAGCTGGGACGGACGAATGAGGGGATTCCCATTTGTAACCTTTCGGGCTTTTTCTAGAACGGGACCAAGAGCCTACGTCACGGTCCGTATTCGTAGTTGGCGGTCCTGCACAGGTCCCCTCATCAACCCTCTTAATCCACGAAAGACCGGCCAGTGCGCAGGTGCCCAACTTAGACTTGATTCCCCGCTCTGTATGCCCCGCTATATTGGGTTCGCAGGTGGAGTTTCACTGGTTCTGCGCTGCCGTGGAATTTCGTGCCTATCTCCGTTCCGGGATTATCACACGTGATTCTGAAGGCTTCTCCACGCAGCCTTCTTTTGGCCGTGCCTCTTCCTCTTCATTTTCTTCAATTCTGATATGATAGGTGAGTATTCAATGAGATGCAGTACAAGAAGACAGGCAGATGAACACTTGCCGACCTTTGAGTGCGGCAAGAATATCGGATCTCAGTTTTGGTTATGAGTTTCTGTATCAGCCAGCCTGTGATTTGTGCAAATTTAATGTGCTCGGTGCTCGCCATGATCAGGTGCCCGGATGGCTTGATTAAAAACACACCTTGGTGGAATGCAGATACCAAACTAAAGGGGAATGCATCCTGGAACTGCTGCCATCAAGTTGATCGTAGTGAAACATGTGAAGCGTCGAAGTTTTCACACATTTTGTTCGGGGGTCTGTCAAAAGCATGGCCCGCAGTTCCGTGTCACGGGCCCTACCCGAAACGTCATTCAACACCTATTCGTCCACTTGAATTCAAAAAAAGCATGTCTCATGAAACTGACGCAGAATTTCTCTGAATTTCGATACTCTCAGTATCATAAAAATCCGCTAACTCGCTCTTCGTCCCACCGGTGGAGCTTTTCCCTACGGGCATGATACAATTTGCGCGAGTTCTTGAAATCGAGGAGAAACTGTGTCATGTCGCCTCCATTCTCCTTATATGAGCCGATAATCTCGCCCGACTTCATGTCACTTGAAGCGACTAGATTTCTGAACTTTGCCTTAAGGAAAGTCTGGTCGAAATTTGAGCTGAGAAGCTGATACTGTAACGTCTCTAGTGTGAGAAAATCCTTGTAAAGACGGTCCAAGCGCTCGGCCTTTTCCGAAATTATGGCCGCGTGACTTTCGTACTCTTCAAGTAGCCTGATTATTGAGTTGATAGTACTGATTGTATCGTTCACAGCATCCCTGAGTTGCTTCTCTAAGTCTTGGTACAGTTTAAGATTCCTCACATAGCCTTTTACGAGCTCATACAGCGAGGCGAATTCGTCTCGAAACTGCTGGGGCAAACTCTGCAAGCTTTTCTCAAGGGGAAAGGGCTGCAATGCTTCAAGCGTAAATGCTTGGGGCTCTTCGTTCATTGAGGTTTTTGAAAATGGTGTAGTGACACGGGAAACATCATCATTTATGCTCACCGAGGAGATTCCGCTCATACAGGACACCCGGCATGGGTTGATGTTTATACCTACCGCGTCGTCATGGAAGAAGCTTGATTCTTCTTATTGACGTCGTGATGATGCCTCAATTATTTACTTCACCAACTCCTGTGCTCTTCTTCTAAGCGCCTCCTGCTTCTTAGCTCTTTTTTCTTCCTCGCTCTTCTCCATTCTCTCGTTCGCCCATGTGCGGAGCCTCTCGCCATATTTGTAGCACAAGAATGGGAACGGAATTCCCAACAAAATCGCCAAGATACCACACATAGTGTTGCCCCAGCCATACCCCATTTTGTCATACATCGAGCTGGCAAATAAGGGAAACAGGAACCCCAAAAGGAAGCGGAAGATCGAGGCGGCCGCAATCGACGAGGCCGCAAACGTTGGATTCATGTCGATCAAGTACGCTTGAAGTGTTTGGAAAACACACACTAGACCAAAGGCAAAGATCCCGCTTCCTAAACACGGCATGATCCAATGGAGCTTGTATTCGACAGACCAGCCATACCAGAACAAGCCAATGGGCATGATCACTGCGCTGATGAAAAGACAAGGAAGCCTGAACTCTGGCTTGGCGACCCCATGTTTTTCAACCAATTTGTCATAGACATACCCCAATGCAATGGTCCATATGATGACTCCAAACACAAACCCAATTCCCAATGCCAAGAACATTAGTCCCGCCGAGCTTTGGGAAAACCCATACGAGTCTTCAAAAACGGATGGAAACGTGACAATCATCAAGTACAAAAACCCGTATATGAAGGCCATAAATGACCCCAATCCAAACACAAGTGGATTGGTGAAAAGAAGAACCAACGGTCTCGTCACAGTATCCTGAAGCTTTGCGAGTGTCAAACCATCGCCTGACAATTCGTAAATTGTATGCAAGTTCTGATTCCCAGTGGCCTTTCTTAAATGTTTTGCTTTGGTGTGCAACAACGCAGGGGAGAATGTCTCTTTTAGAAGAACTGAACCAATTAGTGCAATTGAACCATTGATGATTGATAATGTGAGAAGGACCCACCTCCATCCCTTGGCTTCCACAACGTAGCCACCAATGACCGGCGCAATAGCTGCTCCAATAAAAGGAATCAAAAACACACCTGCCAAGCTTGTGTTTCTGCTTTTTGCATCAAACATGTCACTGACAACTGCCGGAGAAACATTCAAGGGTGTCGCGCTAAAGAGACCCGAACAGAACCTCAAAATCAATAATTGTGTGATGTTCTGGGAGAATGCGCAAGCGAGATTGAAACAAAACGTGATCCAGCAAGTCCAATTCAAAATAATTTTTCTGCCGAGTCCATCATTTTCACTGAGAGGAGCGATTACAAGAGGACCAAAGACCCATCCCAAGATATGAATGGAAGTAACAAGCGCAAGTATCGTGGGGGATGTCAAGTCGAAGTCTTTTGCAATGTCTTTTGATGCAGGTGACAAAATCGACGCAGAGATAGGCGACACAAACGTATACAAAGACACAAGAAGCACCACGTATACTTTCTTTTGAATTCTCCAATTCCTTGGATTTTCATGGCTGTCATGAGCCCAGGTGACTAGCTCGGGATCTATATTTTTAAATTGTTCCCCATTATCCTCAATGGGGAGTCTCTCTAGATCAATGATATAGTCTTCGTCATTCGCCGGAGCAGAATTTGCAATCCGAGAAAGAATTGTTGTTTTTGTGGCCAATCTTTGAAGATCCAAATCGGCGTACTCCTTGGCTAGTTTATTTTCTTCTAGGATGTATCTGCTGATTTCCTCAGGGTCTTCGGTTGATTGAAAAACTTCGGAGAGTCTTCGGAGAGATGACGTTTTTCTCTCTGGGCTAAGATGCTGTATTCCTGCTTCCGAACACTCGGCCTGAATTACATGACCATCGAATGTGTACAGCGACGATGTTGACGAAAGAGAGCTTTTATCTGATGTCATCTTCCGATATAAGGAAGCCCTGATCCGGAAGGTGAGTAAATAAATGAAATGAGTTGTTTGTGAGAATTTCCAAATTGGAGACAAGACTCATTTTCAAGGGGATTTCAATTGTTATTTATGAGTTTCTTGGCGTGAAGCTTTGAGCCGCACAGAATAATCTGAAAATCCCGGTTGCAAAACTTTCACGGGACCGTTTTAGGCGTTGCTCGCGCGTTTCGGTTAATAGCGGCAAACACGCACAGCTATGCGCAAAATTTGAATCACATGCACGCAACTTGTGAGTGCGAGTTTATCCAACATTGTTTTTCGCAAGGGACTGCTCGATGAGGTCGATGCTGTTTTCTGCCTCTGTCATGGACATGCCACAGCTGAGTGCAACCAACTTGCAGTATTTGTGAAGCTTGTCCGAAGACGGGTATTCAGAAATCGGAAGATTTAGGCGGCCCGTAATATCTTCCTTTAGACGCGGTTGTTCCGATTCAATCTTTTCCACGCCTCCTGCACCGGGCCTATTTTCCTTGAATTCGTCTTTATTAGCGGCAAATAAAGGGACTCTTGCTTCTTGCTCGTAGAGCTTGTTTGCAAGAAGCTTACGCCGCAAGACCTGATTTTGCAAGCTCACGGCTAACTGAAATGTCTTTATGTTCTTGGGCTCTGCCACTGTACTTGGCGAGACTTTCACGTGATCTTTCAAGCGAATTTGTGTGGCCTTCTCCCTTGAGTACTTGTACCGAGTCAAAGAATGAAGCAATTCCTCTTCTGCGCTGATTTTCTGAAATATCAGGTCATTCATCAATCGACTCACTTCTTCCTGGATCACTTTGTCTCTCGAGCCGCTACCCAAAATCACGGTGTCAGCCTTTGCTTCCAACTGAGAACAATCCTCAGAAGCACCGTAGTCCTTCGCAATGTCTTCCACTAGATATCCTAAATTGAAAAGCTGCAAGACTGCTTCTTGTGATTTGAATTTTTCCAATCCGATGATTCGGAAATAGCGATAGAGAGAATCTAGTTTGTTGTCTTTTTGCTTCAACTCGTTTTCCATGCAGTAAGAGAGCTCACTGAGTTTCTCGGTGACTAGATTTATTGATGTGTTGTGATAGTTCATTGCCATTCTTGTTTTATGCAACTGCGTCTCGAAGCTCTGCGTGTGTTCCATGGGGAATATTGAATGAGAAGAAACAAGTCCCTTTTCGCTAGGATGCGGAACAGAGCCGTTATCGCTCTCGAGGCGCAAGAGATAATTGTGTGACGCCAAATAGTCTTCAACACTGTAATTGACGTGATTCCGTAAAGACAAATCGATAAACTTGTGAAAGCAGATAAATGTTTTAATGCACTTTTTCGACATGTTATGGGCAACGATGTGAAAAGCTGTGTTGCCGTTGTTGTCTTGGTGATTAACAAACTTGAAGATTAACTCCTTCTTTTCTTCCAAGCTCCGCTTTTCATCACCGTGCAGTAGCTGATAGTCTGGGAATCCCACGATCTTTGAGAATATGATTTCGAAGTAATAGCTCACGAACCTTTCTTTTCTGGCCTTGAACCCCAGGTCAGGCTCGTTTCGCTGGGAGTTATCAAACTTGGACAAATCACACGCCAATGCAATATGATGCAAAACTGTGCGTCCGAGTTTGTCGACAGAGAGGAACGAGTCGAAGAGCATATCAAGGATTACAGGGAAGTTGTTCAACTGGTAGCTGTTGCGGAACTGCACCAAAAACATGAGTGGCGTCTCGCCGTTGTAGTTCGTGACGCCGCTATCAATGAAGTTGGGGAAGATCGATAGTAGGAACTCGATGATGCCCATATTCGCCATGGAGCAGGCCCAGTGGAAGACCGTGTTTCCGTCTTCATCGACGGGCCGGTTGATGTTGATCTTCAGAAGCGGCTGTGGCGGGTGGAGGATCTTTTCAGGAAGCTCGAAGGAGCCCGGTTTGCAGCCTCCACTGGGGCTGGCCAGGCTGCTATCCTCCATGAGGTACTCGAGAAGGGTGTCGAAATATTTGGCGGACTCGGCGTCCTCCGCTGTATTTTTCAAGTAGCTCTGTCCAGGGAGACCCACGCCGTGTGCGCGGCCCACACTGCCGTTCAAGCTCAAAAGCTGATGCGCCCGCTCGGGGCTCCCGGTGAGGCTCGGCATGGTTCTCCCGTGCAAGTTGTGCGACAGCACGAATGCACGCGAGCCGAAAAGCTCCTTGCCAGACATGAACTCGTCGTCGTCGGACTCCCTCACGTTGAACGGGTCGTGCTTGCTCACACTGCCGCGGATCCGCGCCGGCGTCTCGTCGTCGCTGTGAGAGACCTCCAAGTCCGCCTGGCGCACGTTCATGTTGCTGGCCATGATCAGCAACGCGTCGCGCTCCGTGTCCTGGCGCAAGAGCGGCGGTAGCCTGGACACAGAGAACGACGAGTCTCTCTGCACCGAGGAAAAGGTGCCGAAGCTCGGGCCGGCGCCCGCGGGCGGCAAGATCGGCACGGTGTGCGACTCGGCTAGCGGGGGCGGGTTTTCCCGCGCAGATAACGCGACCCGCCTCGGCTTGTCCTGGGCGGTTGGACGTCCGGCGTCGTGGGCGTTGGTCTCCAGCTTCATGCGCTTGTGGGAGGCCGGGCTTTCGGAGCTGTGTGCTTGCGTCTCGCGCTTTAGTTTCTGTTGCTGCTGCATCTGGCGGCGGGCGATGTTCAGCGCGGACGCGTGGTTGTGTTTCGGGGCCGGCGGCGGCGTTTCCAGCCGGCCCTCCACGTACACAAAGTCGAAGATTGGCTGGAGAAGCTCATACACGCCGAAGTTGCGCGCGAGCTCCGTGCCGATGTCGAGCGGCACGTACGTGCCCTGATACTTGCCGTATCCGCCCTGCACTTTGTCATGTATGCCCGTCTGGATGTCCTTCTCGAGGATGCGCGTGCGGCGGGCCTTCGGGAACTTGGCGATTTTCAAGATGTGCGTGGCGTTGATCCACGAGTCCAGCTTGCGCCGCATGATGGGGCCCTCGGGGGTGACAAACTCGAACACCGGCACGTTCGAATACGTTGCCGAGTATATCTGCAGCAGCGGCGGCGCCATTTTTGTGGGGGAAAGAGGGCGTGTTACCTGAGGGTTTGGAGTCACGGCAGGATGCCCAGAAGTGCCGGTTTCGAGACGGAGGCCACGGTTGGGGGGAGCTGGTATTCTTGCTCTGGCGGGTAGTTCGTGTCTGCTCAGCGAGGCCGGGGCGTTAGTGGGGACCAGCGGGCGGGCGGTGTACGGGTGCGTGTTTTGGGCAGCAGGAAAGCCACGAGTGTCTTTGGCCGTCTGATTCGGCGGCGTTTCCCAAGGTTTTGGTGGGATGAGATAAGTCCTGGGCGGCAGTTCCATGATGTTTACATGACGTGAAGGCGGGTCACGTGACCGCGAGGGCGCGGGCGCGGGCGCGGATTGGCGGCGCGGTCTGTGAGAACTAGACGCTTAGCCCTAATTAATCATGTGACAAATGAGACATTAAAGTTCGCACCACTTACCCGGAACCAAATAGCACGACGAGTATATGAAGGGAAGAGAATTCCCTCTAGAGATCTTTTTAGAAGGTCAGTTGACACAAAAGTGGTTTTAGTTTTTCCTAAATAAAGGTTTATTTCCACACGCTAGTACATCATGTCGAATCCGATATCTCAACTGTACCAGTTGGGAACCACTTGTGGACAGGACATTGAGTTGGAATATCCTGTACTCAAGCAGAAATACAAACAGGTTATGGGTCCTGAGCCGACCGCTGAGCACAAACGGATGCTTACATCGACTTTCGGAAAACTTCAAGATGAGAGTCTTACTAGTGTGTGGAAAATATTCTTTGAAAGAAGGATATTTGATTTTGACCAAAATGTTTTTATTTTCTACAAAGAA